ACTGTAGTACTGTGGAGTACTGTAGTACTGTAGTACTGTGGAGTACTGTAGTATTGTGGAGTACTGTAGTACTGTGGAGTACTGTGGAGTACTGTGTTTTAAAGTGTTGATGCTGCCAGTGATACCATCATGTTACCATAGCAACCAGATGAAGCGCTTCGTCCATTTCCTCCATGACAACATGTCAGAGTGTGTGTGTGTGTGTGTGTGCGTGTGTGTGTGTGTGTGTGTGTGTGTGTGTGTGTGTGTGTGTGTGTGTGTGTGTGTGAGACTCCACACTTCCTAAGTGTGTGTGAGCGGAGGACGTGTTCTGCTCCTGCAGCTCAGTGTTGACAGGTCGGAGGTTCTCCTCTCGGCTCCTCTCGGCTCCTCTCGGCTCCTCCTCGGACTGATCCGACTCCAGAGACGCGTCTTCTTAAAGCGACACGTCTGTGACGAGGGCGAGGAGCGGGGGAGAGGAGGGAGACACCCGGAGGATGCTCACGAAGAGACCGGGGAGCAGCAGCCTCCATCTTCTCCTCCGCCTCCAGGTTATGAAACCATCTGCAACGTGATGCTGGACGTCCGCAGAAAAACCTCCAGGACCCCCTCCTCCTCCTCCTCCTCATCCTCCTCCCCCTCCTCCTCCCCCCTTCCCTCTCCATCCCCGGATCATACATGGACTGTCCCTGCGTCACGCTCCTTCCTGCTGCGTCTTTTCCTCCGCAGCCGCGTCGCCTCCTCCTCCTCTCCTCCTCTCCTCGTGTTCAGGTTGATATGACTCCATCTCCTCTCTGACTCCATAATCTCTCTGACTCCCTCTCCTCCTCTCTGACTCCCTCTCCTCCTCTCTGACTCCATCTCCTCTGAACGTTCTCCGGCCTTCTGCCTCTCATCCTCCCCCCTCCCCCCCTCTCAGTCCATGAGCCCTGTCGGAAGATAACGCTGCGACCTCCGCGGCACCGCATCAGCGTTACCTCCTTAACGCTGCGTGCGTGAATCTGCCTCACCCCCCTCCCACCCCACCCCACCCCACCCCATCCATCCTTCCTCGCCGTGCGGCCGATGCGGTGTTGGTGCGCGCTCTCGGCTCCTCAGCTGCGGGGCGCACGGCGGCAGGATGGTGCGGATCGCCAGCGCGCTGGGGCTCGTCATGTTCAGCGTGGCTCTGCTCATCCTGTCGCTCATCAGCTACGTGTCCATCAAGAAGGACTTCCTGCTCAGCACCCCCAGATACGGACCTAATGGAGGACCCAGGATGTACATGTTCCACGCAGGGTTCCGGTGAGTGCACACGTCGGTTGTTTACATCTTCCTGTGTGTGAATGTGCTGACACGGTGGACAACGGCCCGGATTCAAACCCTCTGCAGCTGCTGCAGCTGCTGCAGCTCGTCTGCTCTGTCTGGAGCTTCTGGATGATTTGTCTCAGGATGAAATGAAATCCTCTTCAATGACGTGTCTGTCTGTGTGGTTCTCGAAAAGATGAAGGTTGAGTGAGTTGTTGTCTGTGACTCTGGAGGCTGAGGGGCCTGTCTGTGCCGGTCAGACAGGGCTGAAGGCCTCTGAGCTGCCTGAGGCCCGACCGGCTCCTCCACCGCTCTCTCACTGAGCAGCCGTCCTCTTCTTGGCCTGGTTAATACTTCGTGAGTCCACACGACCACGTTTCACTTTGAAAACGCATCCCCGTTGCTATGGTTACCGTCTGCTGCGACTGTATTAGTTTAGGAAAACGAAAACCGGACACGTGCTCTTCCTGATTGGCTCTTATCAGTCACCTGACAACGCTCGAGGCTGAAGTTACGCTGTAGCTACGGACGAGCTTTTATTTTTGTGTGTGAGTCACGCTGTAATTACACAGCGGAAACTCTAGAGGTGGTAGAGTTTACTTCAGTGTCACGGATCTCGCTGGAGCTGGAGCCGGTCATGTGATGTGTTTCCAGTTAGGCTCCATCGACACGACCACGTTTTCGTTTGAACGCGCGTCGGCTCCGCTCCAGATATTTGGTGGTCAGGAAACAGCCCGGTTTTATTTTGAAAACTCGGAGGCTGCGTCTGGACGATCAGAATCATTTGGAAATGTCGACGTAGATTCATCAGGCTCGGGTCACATGACGTCTCTCTGGGGGAAAACATCAGCTTCTTCACCTGAACTGACAGAATCCAGGAGAATGTATTTAAGGAAAACATCTGTCACTCACCTCACCTGTCTTCTGCATGCCAGCTCCTCTCACTGTACCTCTGTGATTCCATTTTGTCATTTTAAAGAAGAGTTTATTTTATTTTTTTGTGAATTGTGTTTGTCCCACGCTGCAGCGAGAGGCCGCCTCGCAAACCAGACCTGAGGTGAATACAGAGTGACGACGTTTCGATGGAAACACAACGATCCGCTCCTTTTATTTCTCCGCAGCAGCTCGATCTCTGTTTGAAATCCATCTTGTTTGTAAAATCAGCTGCAGCTTCTGCTTCTTCCGGCTCAGACGACACTCGCGGCCGTTTAACTGTTTGTGTCGAGAACGTGACACAAACATTGACATGAGACCCTGAACGTGTTCGGGGGGTGCGGCTCTGGACCAACAGCTCCGTCATTTTCTACCTTTATGATTTAAAAAGTTTCGCCAGATTTGTTTTTTGGAGGATTTTTATCGAGTTTTATCAACAACAGAAAGTTTCTTATGTTATTAAAGTTCCTCTGCAGCCGCTTGAATAACTTAGATGTCATACGGACAGTTAACATGTTCAATAGGGGAGAGTGGGACTCTAACACTCTAACACTCACATACCTTCACACTAACATGAAGCATGAACTTATCGTCCAGAATTCTCATTCTGCTGGTTCTGGTCCAGCGCCGCACCCCCCCCCCCCGAGTCACTATCTACAAAGATGGTGGACGCTGCATCAACAAAACCAGCTGCTGGAGATCTGCCGTCAGATCCGGGTCAAACAGTATTTCTTCTCAGTTGTGAGTGTTTGTTCTGGCCGGGCTCAGCCGAGGTTTACCGTGCAGGACAGAGCGAACGACCACAGGAGGTTTGAATGTTTCATTCAAACCTCCTGTGGTCGGACCTCTGACTCTCCACTGTCCTGAAGCTGTAAACTCCTCCCACCTGGTCTTCTTTGCCGGATTGAACCAAACTTACCAACAAATACTATTTGACCGGTTGTTTCTGCTGCAGCGGAGCTTTGACCTGAGTCTTGACATTTTGATGTTCAGTTAAAAAGATAAACACGTCCTGGACCTTTGTCTCTGCACAGAGACGGAGCCGATGTCCATTTTTTTTCTCATTTGGCTTTTGATTAACTCTTGATCTGAAGAAGGAAGTTATTCTACTGAGAAAGAAAAACATTCAAAATGTCAAGATTTCTCTGCAGGAAGTGAAACAGAAGCTTCTGAAGCGTAAACATGGTTCATCTGCTGAGTTAATTCTCATCAAGGCCTAATTTCTCTTTTATATTATATTATAAAGCTTTTTCTTTACAGTTAAAATTCGTGTTCATCTTAACAAGTACTCTGATTTCACACAAACACAGTTCTTCACAGTGTGACTTAAACAAAGCATCATTCGATGTGAACAGCTGATTTCAAACTTAACAATGGAAAAGTTGTTTGTAAACAACTTGTTCAGATGAACTTTTTTCCGGCAGTAAAATCCTGAAGTGATAAAAACTACTAAAACTACATTTACACTGAGCTCCTGGTGTAAATGAAACTGAATCAGTTTGACCTGCGGTTCTCTGCAGGAACAGAACGCAGAGCGTGTTCTTAACCGCTCCTCAGACACTTGCACATTTCAACCAGGTCGGTTCGAAGGCATTTTAGTTTTGGGAAGAAACTGAAGATATGATGAATCTGTTAGTTCAGCTGAAACTCCACTGACCGACTGTATTTACTGTAGTTGCTTGTGCATTGAAGAATCATTCCGTTGATAGTTCAAATGCTGTTTCTACACAAACTTTACATTTTCATGCAACTGAAATGAAACTCAAACAAAACAAAGCTAACATTTGAATCCCTGTTGGTCTTTTGCATCTAGAAACGAGAATTCAGTTCAAAGAAGCTGCGCAGCTTCAAATCAAGTGGTTCAGTTGTGAACCCGTCTGACTCTCATTACCTTCAATGTCCCGTCAGACCTTTTCATTTAAAACAAAAACAAAAACAAAAAAAAAGCTAAAATGCCTCCGAAGAAATTGCAAGTGGATGAAGTGGAGCTCGTCCGAACTCGGGCAGCCTGACCTGACCTCCGCGTCTCCTCCGGTTCTTTTGTGCAGCTCCCAGCTGGCGATGAAGTATCTGGACCCGGCGTTCACTCCTCTGACCAACTCTCTCAGCGAGGACCTGCAGAACTCCTCGAAATGGAGGTACAACAGTTCTGCTTTTATACAGCAGAGGTAGGTGACGCACGCACGCACACACACACACACACACTGTTTAAATCAGTTTAACGAACCTCCTCCTGCTCTCTCTGATCTCTTGGTTTTACATTTGATGAATTGTTAGTTTTCTTTGTCTCTAAATCTGATACGATCTTGGATTAACTTGAATTATCAAAGAGAGAAAGTCTGTTGATTGCAGAGGACAAATAATTTAATTTTCATGGTTCCAGGTCAAAATCCAAGACTTGATGAATTTTGGCTGGTTCAAATATTCTGGCTGATAATCGAAATGATTTTTACTTCCTGTTGCGCTCCGTCAACATTAAGAATTCAAGGTTTTATAAAAACGTGGTTCTGTCTTGCAGGACCGAGATCTCTCAGTACATCGACATCCCCCACAACTTCTCCCTGACCCGAGGCTCGGTCCGTATCGGTCAGCTGATGCATTACGACTACTCCAGCCACAAATACGTCTTCTCCATCGGTGAGAACTTCCGCTCGCTCCTCCCCGACGCCTCGCCCATCCTCAACAAACACTACAACGTCTGCGCCGTGGTCGGAAACAGCGGCATCCTCACGGGCTCGCGCTGCGGACCCCAGATCGAGAAGTTCGACTTTGTCTTCCGCTGCAACTTTGCCCCGACTGAGATCTTTAAGAAGGACGTCGGGCGGCGGACCAACATGACAACGTTCAACCCCAGCATCCTGGAGAAATACTACAACAATTTACTGACCGTGCAGGACAGGAACAACTTCTTCCTGAGCCTGAAGAAGCTGGACAACGCCATCCTGTGGATCCCGGCGTTTTTCTTCCACACGTCGGCCACAGTGACGAGGACGCTGGTCGACTTCTTCGTGGAGCATCGAGGTCAGCTGAAGGTCCAGTTGGCCTGGCCCGGAAACATCATGCAGTACATCAACAAGTAAGATGTCGTCACACTCAACGGCGAGACGCGTCTTTATTATCCGTCTCGTAAAGTCATCGCGACGTAGGCTTCTGCATTTACAAGTTTTTTGACGTGTCTCAGTACTTTTCTGAAAGAGTTAGGCGCCGTAGGAAACTGCATTTGCAGGGATGAGCGAGTACTTGTCGCAGCGTTGTGTGTGTTTGTGTGGATCAATAAAATAAATCACGTTACAAACACAACACTGGTCTGTTTCACAGAGCACGGGAAGTTTTCATTTGTTTGTTAAAAGTACTCAAACAAGTCCAGAGCAACTGACTGGGACATTTGTTCTCACATCCAGAACCTCCAGGACATTTCTGGAAAGGTCTGGAGTTCAGTCTGCAGGAACAAAGTTCTCCATGATTAAGGTCATTGAAAGCATCAGTCCTCGGGCTGGGGGACACGTCAGTCAGTTCTTCTTTATAAAACGTGTCTGTAAATGTTGTCGTGTGGTTGTTTGGTATCGAGCTGTGTTCTATATGGCCCAGAGGAGATTTAGGCTCCAAAGCCGGATTATAAGGAAGCAGCTCTTTAGTGAAAGGAGCGGAGCGGAGCTGTGTGTGTGGAGAGGGATTTAGTGTCGTGGCAGCGGAGTCGTCACCTCGTACAGTAGCCTAATCTTCAACAATCCCATTAAATCTACCTGCTCCTGAAGTATTAGCACGTTTAAGCAGCTCAGACGTCTTTCAGCTCCTCGACGACTCTTTGTTGAGGCCGGTGTGGAGACGACCCCCGGTGAGACGCCGCAGAGCTGAACGACTCGGTGAAAGCATCAGCGCTGATCATGTTATTGTTGTTGAAGTCTTGTCGGCTGGTTACAGATCAGACTCAGGGTTTGAGTGAAATACACAAATAAATAGCTAATAGTTAAAACTTTTCTTTACATATGTAATGGATCATATGGTAAATTCAGTATAAAGGACATTACGCTGATTCTTTGTGGTTTTTTTAATTCAAAAGAGAAGAGAAACATAATAATTAGAGTTTAATGATCAAAATAAATTCATATTCTAAACTATTAAACGAAAACAATCGTTTATTATTTGTTCACAAACAGTGAGAAGAGTTTTTACACTTGTTTGTTTGTGTTTTTAAAACTTGTTCTTTGTTTCATAGAGTAAATAAATAAAACCTTAAATATAAAACCCTGAATCATTAACTGAGTTTATCAAAACAGAAATTAAGCTTCTTTCTCTTTTCTTGTTTTTTTTTTAAACAGCTACTGGAAAACCAAGCAGCTGTCGCCGAAGCGCCTGAGCACCGGCATCCTCATGTACACGCTGGCGTCGTCCATGTGCGACCAGATTCACCTGTACGGCTTCTGGCCCTTCGGCTGGGACCCCAACACGGGCAAGGAGCTGCCGTACCACTACTACGACAAGAAGGGCACCAAGTTCACCACCAAGTGGCAGGAGTCGCATCAGCTGCCGGCCGAGTTCAAGCTGCTCTACAAGATGCACACGGAGGGACWGCTGAAGCTCAGCCTCTCGCACTGTGCRTAGAGCTGAAGCTCAGCCTCTCGCACTGYGCRTAGAGCTGAAGCTCAGCCTCTCGCACTGCGCGTAGAGCTGAAGCTCAGCCTCTCGCATTGTGCGTAGAGCTGAAGCTCAGCCTCTCGCACTGCGTAGAGCTGAAGCTCAGCCTCTCGCCCTGTGCGTAGAGCTGAAGCTGAAGCTCCTCGCTGAACTCTGCTCCGAAGGCTTCAACAGACCAGAGGCGTCAAAAAGACAAAACGGACAAAGGCAGGATTCACGTACTGTTTCTGATGAACCGTTACAAACTGCTCGAGAGAAGAGTCGTGGTTTTGTTTGGCTGCTCGAGGATCTGGAGTCGAGCAGGACTGCGGATCCTTTTGTGAAGCTGAGACTTGTGGGAAATGTTGTCCTGCAGAATATCACCGGCTCAGATTATTTAATTTAGTTTTGAATCCCTCCCGTGATGGAACCTCTGTGACGCAGGTTCTCTGCCTCGTGTTTCCTGCGGGTCGTAGAGGAAACTCATGATTGTCCAGATGAGTGAGATCTTGTCTCGTATCTTCATGAACAGTTTTGACGTATATTAGGTCTCATATCTCGTATCTCCCACCTTCAGTCTGTTATTAAACTGGATCGTGTTCCATCATGTCACACAGTCATTTCTTTTGATGCTGTGTCACTTTGCAGAGCTCTCAGACCCCGAACCTGTCAATCAGACAAACACTGGGTGTGTGTGTGTGTGTGTGTGTGTGTGTGTGTGACGAGCTGCTGCGTCTCCCTGCGTTTCTGCTGCGGAGCTTCAGTGTGACGTTTGAAATAAAAGTAATTATGAACTCAACAATAAAAAACAAGTGGATTCAGTCAACGCACACACTCGAGGGCTTTTACTTTGAAGGAGATACAGGAAGTGCTGTCTGTTTGTTCCATGTTGGGCGGATAAACATTTTGTTGGAGACTCGGACAAACACACGTCACTCTCGGCTCAGCGAGTTGTTTTCAACCTCGAACAAAACGGCGAGTTAACGTCTTTAACTCACACGTTAACTCGCTGCTTGTGTCATCAACTCTATGCACCAATCAGGACGAGTCTCGTTCTGACATCATCATCATCATCATGTCCTCAGGGACGTGTTTGTTTTTGTTCGTGTCTGTTTGAGATGAAGTCAGGGGTTAGAATAAAGGTGAACGTATGTTGTCTCTTTGTCCCGTGGTCGTGTGAAATCATCACTTGATCCAAACGTTAAGTTATTTTATACGTTTGCTGCTGGAGGACGTCAGTGAGACGACGTGAGACGACGTGAGACGACCTGAGACGACGTGAGACGACGTGAGACGACGTGAGACGACGTGAGACGGATCAGTTGTGATAATAAAGTTCTCTCACGTGACGTTAAGTTTCCTGAGGTTTGAACCTGGAAACTAAACTATTTGCATCGTGTTCTGAAACATCAAGATTGTTTCACACTTTATCAGGAATTTTACGACTTATTGTGAGAATGATTTTGTTGATGGTTGTTGAGGAATCAGGTGTCGTTAGATGATTTAAGTGTTTCGAAGTCTTATCATGTGAATCATCAGATTTTCTTTGCTGCAGAGAATCTCACATTATTTCTTTTTAACGTGCAGCTGCTTCTATTTTCTATTTGTTTGTTTCTTTAGTTTCATTCCAACACGAGATTTCTGGGACTGGAAACGTGACATTTTCGGACAAAACGATTGTCGGCAGTTAAATTCCCTGTTTAATAAGAACGATGTTATTTTGTGACGACACCTCAGATGTTTCTGTAAAATACAAAGTCTGTGAAACTTCAGGTTTTTAAAGAATGTATTTGCTTTTTGAATGAAACTCCGATATTAACGAGCCTGACTCCATCCACATCGATCTGTCTTTAGATTTCACGTTGTAAACACATTTAGACATCAGTACGCTGTAGGAGAACAAATACATTTCATCCAATACTTGAAATTAAATATATTTACTCTGTATTTATCATTTAGTTATTAAAATGAATGAAATCATCAGTTTGACAAAGTGTCTTGTTTTGAATTTTAACCCTTCGCTCTCCGTGACTCTTAAACAAAGAAGCTTAGATCATGATGTTTGTTTGTTTGTTTGTTTGTTTGTTTGTTTGTTTGTTTGTCAGCAGGATTCAAAAATACTCAACAGATCCAGGATCAGTTCCCTCGGAGCGTTTTTTTGAATAAAGTCAGGACAGATTTTAAATTTCCACAATAAAACACATTCGTTGTAAACAGATGATGATGTTACGCAATTTTTTAATTTACATTTTTTTAGTTTAGGAAAGAAAAAAAAAAAAAAGAAGTCGTTTAACGACTCCTGTGACCTGAAGTGAAATATGATGTTTTAAATTGGCTTCTTCTCATTTGCACATACATGACCCTCCGGGCCCCAACACGTGATCAATCACGACCCCCCCCCCCCCAATAGATGTGAAATAATCAATAATAATTGTAATGATATTGATAATGTAAAGCAAAATAACTGGTGCGACGATGAACAAGGACTAAATAAATTAAATGGAAAAAAAATTTGAAATGAATCTGGATTACACACAAAAAAATATATTTTATCATGAAATTCTGGACGTCAGGATGAAAACATCTTGTTGTAAAGTGGGAATACGTGAAAGAGAAAGAAAGACCCTCAGAATATAGGTCAGCGTGTTTATGCAGCGACAGAGGTCAGATGGCGAGCGCTGGGGTCGGCTGACCTCTGACCTCTGACCCTTTCAGTCCTGCCGCCTCGTGTCAGCAGCTGCTAACAAAAGAAAACCTGCCCGAGTCAACAGCTGGATTCAAAACCTTTGTGATTTAACCGAGTGCCATTCATTTTATTTGAATGAATCAATTTGTTAACTTCAAGCATTTAAAAAAAAAAAAACTGAAACTACACTTTCCCCCTCCTGTTGTTTACATGTGACACGTGACATCGTATTAAAGTAAAACACAACTTTCATCGAACGAGGGCCGATCACACTTCACTGATCTGAAAAGGCACAATTAATAAATGAGAATTAAGGAGATTAATTAAAGAGTAATGCAACAGGAAGCTTGAGAGGAGAGTTCAGAGTTCAGAGATAAAGAGAAAAACTTTATTGATCGCTGCAGGAGGAAACCAGGTCACTGCAACACAAAGAATCTGACGGAGGAGACAGAAAGAAATAGTCATCAACACATAAACAAATAAGCAAATTAAAAAAAATCTGTGCAATTTTCCTCATGAAGAATTGTTGAAATTAATCCTTTTATTCAGGTTTTGTTATTAAAATACTTGTTAATTATGAAGCGAACACATAATGAACGATATGAAGACGTTAAGTTAAAGTCTGATAATGAAAATAGAGGAAACTTAATTAAATTCACTCGAACATTTATTTATTCAACAGAACTTCGGTCTGAAGAGAATTGAAATAATAAGTTAATGAAGCTGCAGATCAAAGAGAATCCGGAGTGACATGCACTTTTAATTTGAAACCAGTTCTACTCATTTGCTCTTTTCTCCACTTGGACCATGTGGAGATATGAAATATTCATGCTCCTCTTCCTCCTCCTCCTCTTCGTCTTCTCCTCTTTGATCAGAAGTGTGAACATTCAGAAAGTCTCAGTCTGCAGCCGTCGCCCTGATGGTCGGCACCGCCGCCGTCTTCAGGCCGAGAGGAAATCAATAAATCAAATGTTATGATTAAAAGAGCAACACGCCGGAGGACATTAAATAATCATGGAGGGAGGAAGAGGAGGAGGAGGAGGAGGAGGAGGAGGAAGAAAACCCTGAACTCCTGTAGTTCAGGAATGACCACCAGGACTTTATCATTGTTGTTGTTATTATTATGGGATTAGGAAATTGGTCCTTGTTTGAAATAATCTTCTGGAACATGAATGTGTGTTGTTTGTTTGTTTGGACTCAGTCGACTTATTGTGTCCTGGTCGTCCTCTGTGTGTCCCCAGGTTCACACAGTTTACTTCAGTCCACTGCTTCAGGACACAATCTAAGTTTGTCAAACTTCACTTGTTGTTTTTCTGTCTTTTCATTTTTCTGGAGCTAAAATTTAAAATTTTTTTGAAATAATGATCTAAGATCACGAGTCCTCACAGGAAGTCAACATGAAACATTCAATCATAAACTCCTAAAGAAACAGGACATTTAAAAGATTAAGTTCATAGGACAAAGTTAGTGCTGAGAATAAAGTGTCCAGTTTATCTGCTCTCGTATTTTTCTTTTATTTATCAAGTGAAGATGTCGAGATCTAAATTTGCACCAAAATAAACTGTCGTCTGAACAAACTGTCTCATGTTGGGAAAGTCAAAGTCAAAATAAAGAAAAGGATGAAAGTCGTTGAGAGACATTCTTTAAAATGTAGGAGATGTTGTATTTCTAAGGATTTAACAATTACAGATATTTTAAAATTCAAGCTGTGCTATGAAATTATTATAAAATCTTTAAAACTGGGACCAAGACATTTTATAAATGTATTTGTTGTTTGACTAAAGTCACAGAAACAGATGATTGTTTAAAACATAAAACGATTTTCCATCTGCTCCTCTAATGAAACTTTAATTTAATTTATCATCAAAGTCTATTTTTCTTTCAATGTTTGGTTTAAAAGAGATGAAGTTAAATTTATGTTTTTCATTATTTCCTGTTTTAAATCTCTCTCTCCAAATCAAGATTCAAATATATCTGTTACAAAAGTCATATTTTTACATTTACACATCAGGTCACACACACACACACACACACACACACACACACACACACACACACACACACACACTCACACACACACACAC